TTGATTTAGATCTACAAATCCTCAAAATTACGGTACTTTATTTTGAAACACCCTGTATAAATATATCTGTACCCCAGAGCCAGAGTATGTTAAGTCCAAAAACTTAGTTTTTCAGGAGAGCATTTTTTATATATTCATTTTAGACTGTGGAGTGTGGGCTTAGCGTAGTTAAAAAATGAGCTGTTTTTGTTATTTTAAAAGATACGTCAAAATGGAAAATATCGAACCATGCGCCGCAAAATTTTAAGTCACTTAACATATTTACCTAAAATTTGGCCAATTTGGACTTAACATAGTCTGGCTCCGAGGTACAGATATATAAAATTAAAAACTTCATTATAAAATTCACTCTTTTTTCTGGAAATACACATATGAACTCTAGACGTTGCATTGGTACCATATTCTAAGATAACACGCTGCGCATTCACCAATAATGTGAAAAGTGTTACCGTAAAATGTGGTGACTTGAAACAATTTTGACTTATTTAGAGCTGTAATTTAAGGATTTTAAGAAATTAGGCAATAAAAAAAATTCTCAGCTAAACTTTGGATCATAAAGAACAAATTCTAGATATTGCTAGAAGGGTTACCCCCACCACAAATTATAAAAAAAATAAATAAGCGTTGTTTCAAGTCATCCCAAAGTTGGGGTGACTTGAAACATTTTTTGATTATTGTTTCAATTCTGCTAGACTTGGGATGACTTGAAACAATAAAATCAATAGTTTAAATATTATACAAAAACTAGATCCGCAACAAACTTGAATATAAGAACTGAAGCCTTTAAAAAATCAATTACCCAAAACTCATACTTTTACCATGGTCCAAAATTATATAATCTCTTACCCGCTAACCTAAAACAAATAAAAAAATTTAAAATCTATAAAATAGACGTTAAAAATTTCTTAATAAATCACCCCGATAAACTAAATATAATAAAAAAAAAATACTTCAGTAAATTAACAATTAAACAATATATAAACCGTTCTTGATTTAATTTTCTATCTCCTACATTACATTCCACATTACTTTCTTTCTTCATATTTAATTATTTTTCTTTAGTATTAATAAGGACTGTTTCAGCTATCTCTGTTATTATTTTAATATTTAAATCTTGTTCATGATATTAAAACAAGTATAATATTTTGTAAAGCACTAAACAGGACTTGCATCGCAAAACAAGCATTAAGTTGCTTAGGCTGGTGTCCGCCCTTGTTTGGTTTTAAACTAATACAATTGTTATTATTTTATTTGTATACCTATATCAATATCAATATCAATTGTTTAGTCTGATTTCTTTCTTTATCATAAACACTTCCAAATTGCTACCAACATCCACAATATTTTTTAAAGAAAGTTGCAAAACTTAAAAATCTTTATTCAATTAACAGAAAAAAAAAACAAAAAAACTAAACTTATTTTCTTCTAATAATAAAAGTTTTATGGCTTACAAAATACAGAAACAAAATACAGAACAAAAAACTAAACTTATTTTCTTATAAAAGTTTTATGACTAACAAAATACAGAAACAAAATACAGAACAAAAAACTAAACTTATTTTCTTATAATAATAAAAAAAGTTGTATGGCTTAAAAGATAGACCCCTGATGCGTTTAACACTTCTTTAATTTCCTCTTGTAAAACAATTCCGATGTCTTCAATTGCCGGAAAAATGAATATGTCGTGACTTTTTTGAGAACGTCTAAGAAATTTGCAAACATAGGAACCAGATTCTTCCGATAAAATTTTGGCCACATAATTTTTACCGGTGCCCTTGGTTGTCTTTAATGTTACAGCCACATATTCTCCAACTAGAGGAATTGTTTTTGTTCCAAAATTTTTCTCGCCATTTCCGTTTTCATTATTGTTAATAACTGCTGAAAGAATACTTTGTTAACCACCAGAAATTTCTTCTGTATCTTGTTCTTCTTCCGGGAGCGTATAATCGTTTTTCTTTTGTGTATCTTGCTTGGCCCTTTCTTTTCCAACAGTCTTTCTTTTCTTAACCTTTGGTTTCGGAACATTCTCCTTTTCTTCTTCCTTTAGTTGGTCGTAGGAAATACTTTCACCTGGTACAACTGTCAATTTTTTCTTTTTTCCCGAAGTAGATGGTTCCTGAGGATTTCCGTAACGTGCATTTTGAAATATCTCGGAAATTGATATTACAATGTTGTCTTCAACAGCTTGTTGTTCTATATTTTCATTTTCTTTCGGAAGCCTTTTAAGAATCTTCTCTCTATCCAAAGGAACTAGGCCAGTAGCCATGAAGTCACCTTTTATATTTTTCTCATTGGCTTTCGTATTCTGTAGAGCTTGATTCAACAGCCTTGTTATGCCTCTTCCATGCTTGAAGAGCTTTTCGCCACTGTTGTTTTATGAGCCTAAACACGCACACATCTAACGGTTGAGTTACGTGTGTGCTATTGGGTAGCAGTAAAATAAATCTGATGTTATTCGATTTGCATAGTTGTATAACGTTTAGTGATAGGAGTGAAGCTAAATTGTCTCCAATTATTACTTTGGGTCCTGGTGGCAATGTCTTAAAATATGGAAGAGCGGTAGTTACGAACCAGTCTTTAAATAAGTGCATATCGAACCAGCCTGATGAACTCCTGTTGTATCGAGCTTTTTCTGGACCCCTCTCAGTCCATGTGGTCCATAGATGGTCTGCTTCATAAACAACGTAGACAGGCAACATTACTCCTGAGGCAGAACATGAAAACATAACAGATGTAGCGGATTTTGAGGTGTCTTGAATTTTTTCGACCCTTTTGGACTTTCTGCGAACAATAACTTTGACCCTTCCTGGTTCATCAGTAAAATTAGTTTCGTCGTAGTTAACCATTGCTGCTGGATCAACATCTACTCAGGATACTGATAAATGGTCAAAATATTGATTTATTATGGCATAGTTGATTTTAGCTCTGCTTTGTTTAATTGACTGTGAGAACCTAGTGGATATCTCATTTCCGTGTCGCTCAATGAAACTCATATACCACTCGTGACCTGGTCTGTTATCTATAAATTGTTTAATATTGATTCCAGACCGATTTAAAAAATTTTGCACCAAATCCCTAACATCGGGTTCTTTATACGGGAATTCCCAGTCAGAAGCACAAATAATTGCATTTCTTGATTTTCCGACAATGCAGTCTGTCCGTCATATTTTTTTGAATGTAAATTTTTACATTTTCTATATAGCGTAGCATATGGTATTCCATATTGCTCACCAATACTTCTTAGGGTTCCTTGTTTTTTTTATAGCAATCCATAGCCTTTTTTAATGTCTCTTCGCTAAAATCGGCATATCTTTGGCTTCCAGGTGTTCTCTCATATTTTCTGGGAATGTTTTAATTCACCCCTGAAATGACAATAAAAAATAAAGTCGCACGCCACTGCTTTAATTTTTATTTTATTTTAAAAGTAAGGTTATGAGCATTATAACAAATAAATATCTAAACTACAAAAAAATATCAATAGCGTAGGGTATCACCCACTTTTTCTACCCCACAGGAAGTAATCGACAGTTTAAAAAGTGCATTTTCTTACCTTTTATTTCAATAATTCTCAGCAGTCAAGAAACAAACTTCTGCGCTTTAAAACATGAATTATGTGAAGTACGTAGTCTACAGAAAGCATTAATACAATATATTATCGATTCACATAACTATTAATATTTTTGCTACCGAATAAAAGATGGCGCTGCAATTTGTTTCAAGTCACCACAATGTTTCATTTCACCCCATTTTGCGGTACCCCCCCAAGAAAACAACCTAGCTACGCGCTTGGTTCAATTATAGGTGGAAAAGTTTTGTTAGGTCTTGGAAATTTTTAATAAATGAGCCATGCTAACATTTTAAATGACTGTTAGGCGATACGAAGTTCGCCGGGTCAGCTAGTAAACAACATAAATATGAATCTTATTTAGTGAAAGTATAAAATACTAATATTTTCTGATTTTCTCTTAATTGACCAGGTAGTCTTTGTAGGGATTAACCTTAGTACCCTTCTTATTAGCCTTTCTTGGAGGATATACCTTAGTTCTTAGTGATAGATAGTTAGAGTTTAGTGTTGTCAAGTAGACAGGTTTTTTTGCAATTTATATATACGTTCAATGTCAATTGGAAATAAAAGAATTAAAAATCTTATAGGTTCTTTAATTTACAAATAAAGCAATCTATAGTCTTTCTTGAACATTTGTCTTTCCAGATATAACTTACTGCGTAGTATCATTAGAAGGCGGTAAGGGCGCTATCGACAATGTTTCCTGCACATAAAATTTTCGTAACAATGGAACAGTGAACCCCTCAGCACGTATGCTGTGAAGGCGTTTTATCAAAATGGGTTTTATTTGCAAATCATGAATTTCTCGAACTGGGGACATCATCTGGTCTCCCCGTTCAACAGATCTCATAACTTTGCAATTTTTCCTTTGAAGTTACTTAAAGAATAAAGTATTTCAAGATGACCCACCACAAACAGTTTAAAATTCAAGCCTTGAAAGAATTCATCCCACAGGAAGTGGACCTAATTCACCTGGAAATGCTGCGAAACGTAATGCTTTTTTATGCTCTTAGACAAAATAATAGAACTTGATATTCTTCTTTTTTACAGACTTTTAAAATTGCTCGTTATTCTTCTTCTTTCAGACGTAGAAAAAACGAATAATTCTTCACATTTCCCTGTTTCAAATACTCATTGATATGGTACCTTAGAGCTATGATGGGATCCTTATAAATTAAACAGGCTCCATGGGTGTTTTGCTTTTATTTACGGTGTTTTCCACGTGCAGGGAAAAAATATTATAAAGTCCCAATCATTTTTAATTAAACCTAACTTAATTTAACGATAAATCAAAACAAAAATTTCCTGATTTGAAAATAATTGATTAAATGCCAAACATGATACACATGCTTCTTGATTTTTAACTTCAGACACAGCATTTATCTCTCTCCAATCTATTAAATCAGGTATGTCAGCACCTACTGGAATTTTAAAAGTTGTCTTTGGTAAATCCAATGAAATGTTTCTTCTTAAATTTAACAGTTTTACGAATTATTCGTGAGTAAGATCTGAAAATTGGTTTATTCCCATATAACAAGAAACCTCTTCCTTATTGTATCTATCATTGTGTTCTTGGATTTCACAAATTTTTTCTTGGAAAATTGTAAATCGTTTATTTTCTTCTTGTTCATTTGAATATTTTTTTTGGAAATTTACCTATAAAATACTTGGTTTATATTAAAGATTTACTTTAAATTACATCTCATACCTTGTACTGCTTCCATAATTTTCCAGTTTCTAATGAACATACTCCAGTAACAGCAATTATTAGTAGTACAATAGCGTTCATCCTAAAATAAGAAAATATTTATCAGTAAAAAAGTGTGTTTGAAATAAACGCGTCAAGAAATTTTTTTAGTACGCATAAATAGGTAGCTAAGGAAATCAAAGACAATATCAATTCATAGAAAGTATCCCGGTATGATCTGATCACAGGTGAAATACTAAAACAATTGGTTAAACTCACTTAATAATAAACGTTGCATTTTGATTACAGCATGTACCTAGCATCTGAAATTATAATGACACCCAAACCTTAAAAACCACCAAATAAAGAATAGTCATATAGGCTTATATTACTGTTACTAGTGCTATCTAAACTTTTCCAAAAACTTTTAGAAAAAAGATTGAAACTCATCATAGACAGTAAAAATATAATACCTGACCACCAATTTGGATTTAGGAACAAACGTTCCACTTTTGATCAAATCCACAGAATAACGAATGAAACAGGAAAAACACTGGTAGAAAAAAAATCTGCACCCAACTCTTTCTAGATGTAGCTCAGGCTTTCGATAAAGTATGGTTAGAGGGTTTTGAATATAAAATAAATAAATTTTTACTTAAGCAATATTGTGACATCTAAAAATCCTACTTGACTTATAGACTCTTCCGAGTAAAACCAAAAGAAGAATATTTTACGCTTAAAGAAACGAAATTCAAGGAAGTTTTCTGAGGCCAGTTATTTACTTGTTGTTTACCTTTAAGGGCCGATTCCACCTTTGTGTTAAACTAAGATTAAAATGACATTGTTAATGTAAAAATGTCATTCTAATCTTCGTTTAACACAACGGTGGAATCAGCCCTAACATACCACAAACGCAAAATGTGAAAGTAGCCATATTTGCCGACTACACAGCCATACTTGCCATCGGTAAAACCACGAAATACGTACTTATCAAACGGAAGTGACACTTAGCAAATAACAATAAGTACGCGCATTTTTTTATCGCAACCCAATTCGTCATGATAATTATTATGTATACTTTGCGATGGTGTTAAGCTTTAGTTCAACTTGTGTTGCCAGTTCTTTTGATTCCCAGATTCTCTAAAAGGAAACCAAAAAGCAGATAGCGCAGCATAACAGTCCTTAGACCAACAACCTGAAAATATTCCTGTCCGAGACGAAAACCTTAAAATCTTCTTAAAACAAAAAATACAAAATAAATTGCAAGAAGAATGGACTCATCATCCATCAAAGCTCAAAAGAGTCAAACCCACAATAAAACAATGGCTAATAACTGCAGAACTGACACGCATAGAACAAGCGGCTCTCCACAGAATTCGAATTTGACACACAAGATTAACATCATCATATATGCTTTTGCGATAAAATCATCCACAATGTGACATATGTGCAACACTACAAACAATAGACCATATTATATTCGAATGTCGAAAATTTGAATTATTGAGACGACAAATTTTAATTCCTATAAACATACAAACCTGCTTATCAAACCAACAGAATATAAAAACATGTATCGAATTTCTAAAGAATATCCAAATTTTTTACGAAATATGAAAAAATACTAATAATTACAAATTCATAATATTGTAATGGCTAATGACCTAGTAGTCGACGCCTATTACAAAAAAAAAATATTAATATTAATAATAATAACTATTTCTTTGCCATATGTAAAAAGATTTTCTGAACAAGTGTCTAAAATGTTTGCGCTAATTATAATATAAAAATCGAATGCCAGTGGAGTCGAAAATATTTCTCTGGATATGCCTAAATTATGTATGCTTGTCATTTCAACGTATATTACACATATTATTAACAGTTGTTTAGAAAAAGATTATATCCCTAATCAGTGAAAAAAGCAGTTGTACCAGTGGCTAAAAAAAATAACCCTTCCATCATTCTTCGATTTAAGACTTATAAGTTTGCTTTTACTTCTCTCTAAAGTTTTGGAGAAAATCGTGTATGAACAAATTTATAGTTTTCTCACTTCAAATAAATTACTGCCCTTACACCAATCAGGATTCTATTACAACCGGATTAGACAATAACCAAGCATCAGCTCTCGTGTTGCTTGACTATGGCAAAGCATTCGACATACTCATCTACCTGCTGTTAATCTCTAAATGTAGTTGCTATGGTTTTAGTGACAAATCTCTCTGTTTTATTAAATCATTTGTAAATAATCTTCTGCAAGCAGTACAAGTCACTAATCAGTCATCTGCATTTGAATCCATAAAATCAGGAGTACCGCAGGGCTCTTCCTGGGTCCCTTACACTATCTTCTATATATGTCAGACTTGTATGAACAACATTACATATGCAAGTACTCAAGTACTCAAGTATCAATAACAATGTGTCATCGGCTAAGGGACTTTACTGTTTTTGATAACTTTCAAGTGTTTTTTATTTGAAAAATCATTCTTTTATATTAATAATTAACATATATATGTAGATATACAAACTGATCGTTGATTATCATAATAAATGAAAAGCAAAAAAAAGATAAAATAACACTGGCGGTTCGTAATCTGTGAAGGTGT